GTAGGGAAAAGTGGGTAGAATTGAACTGAGATCTTCACATCTTTGTGAAGATTACTTTGTTGGCGTAAGTAAGACAGTTGAACAGTGTTCATTTCTTGGAGGTGTTGAGCTTGTTGGTTTGTTAATATTTGGGTCCTGGCTAAAGTGCCACAGTTTGCCTGTGCATCTCATTTAGTCCTTGTACCAGTCTGAAGAGATGCTAAGTATCATGAGTCCTGTTTTACAGAGGGCAAATCTGAGGTCTGGAAAGGTTAATTTGCCCAGTGGTGGGTTTGCTGGGCGTTCTATTCCTCTTTATGGCTTTGGGAAGATGCCAGAATAGATAAACCTCAGGGCCTCGTAAGCAGACAGCTGAGAGATGAAACAGGATTGCAGGCTTTCTTTTGAGCACAAGAGGCATCGTTGCCTTTAGGTGAACAGAGTTTGCTGACAGCGCTGTGCAGGGTTGGCTGCTGAGCTCGCTCAGGCCGAGGCAGCCCCTGGGTGGATGGACTAGAGAGGCCAAGTGCTCTCACTGCAGAGTCTCAGTCAGGGCGGTTGCCGGGGCGGGGGGCATTGGGAGATGAGCGTCACGCAGCAGGAGTGAGCGCGCGCGCGCGCGTGTGTGTGTGTGTGTGTGTGAGACACGGCCCTCAGCCCCGGTCCCAGTAACCCAGCAAAACCTCAGTGACAGGTTTCAGTCAGTGAGGTCAAGTACTTGGAGCTCGCTGGAAATCCAGCGGTTTCTCAGTGAAAGGTCCTGAGGTTGTGTGGTGCTTAATTGCCAAATTACTACCTCGGTCCCTTTCCCTAGTGGCCGCCAAAAACCATTTTATAGATGAGGCCTATTGCTTCATGGACAGCAGTCCCATCTTGATCTGTTCTCATTTTTATGTCCAGTTAGATGAAATGTGATTGATGTTTATTCTCATTAGAGCATTGGCTGGCTATGATATTTGCCTATCCTTGCCATTTTTGAACCATGGGAAAACACCTTGAATTGTTACGATTTTGAATGCAGGGGTTTCATAAAAGTTACGCTGTTTCAGAAGGTAAGAAGGCCTTGTATCTGGTGCAGTTCTGAAGTGTTCTTTCTCTGCAGGTATTTGAAGTATCTCACCAAAAAATATTTAAAGAAGAATAATCTCCGCGATTGGTTACGCGTAGTTGCCAACAGCAAAGAGAGTTACGAGTTACGTTACTTCCAGATTAACCAAGATGAAGAGGAGGAGGAAGATGAGGATTGAAACTCAGTTTTCTGGAGCATTTTGTATGAATTCTTAAATAAAATTTAGGAAACAAAATGGTGGCTTTCCTTGTATCTCTGCAGTGTGGATTGAACAGAAAATTGGAAATCATAGTAAAAGGGCTTCACTTGGGCTGCCACTCACTTACTTGTAATTAAACTTTTTTTCTGCTTGAAAATTTCAATTCTTTTGGTTGAAATACCAAAATGTGTAAGTCTCCTTCAAGGGAACTGACTACTGTTTGTCATTGAACAGGTGGATGAGGGCGTGGAGATGTGAGTTCAGTTAGTTACTGTGTTACACCAAAAGGGGTGGGTCAGTTTCATCTGGTACTTTTCTCAAAGATTGAGGAATACAAATGTGGGAACTCCTGATTCACTGAAAGCAGATCCAGTGACTTGTTTGTGAGGTTCTTTTTTTTTTGGGAAAGTGGCAGTGTCGATAAAATGCAGGCTTCTGGGACATTTGTCTTCATTTTCTGGTTACAAATTACTCTTGATGGACACAGTTATTACTATGTACGTTAATCCATTTTCTTCCTGTAGAAATAAAATGTCCTTTTGCTTCGAATATTCTACGCCACCTCTGGAAAGGGTCTGGAGAGCCACTGTGAAAGTCACAGGTGTTCAGTTAAGGAAAGATCTACAAAATACGAATTTGTAAATAAGCATTGTTTCTACAAGTCTTTGCACCAAACTGTCACTTTGAACCCCACCAGGGGGAGCTGGAGGTGAGGAATAGTGGAGCTTCCAAAGGTGGGTGTGCGTGAGGTTGCCTGGTGTCAGGCTCAGAGTCCCAGAGTTCTGGAGTCTTACCCCCGGGGCAGGTGTGGAAGAGAGGGGCCTGGGAGACAGCTCAGGCTGAAGAGAAGTCTTGAGATGCCCAGGGAGTGAGTAGTCCCTTTCACACCATTTAGGCCACGGCTGGGCTTAAAAGTCATCCTACAAACACGTTAAGCAGGGCCAAACTGAAAGGGCTTCCCACGATATTGGGGGTTCTGCTGCACGTGTAGAGACTAGAGATCTGTGAAAGGTCATTAATGGGATCATAAAGATGTGATTGTTGCTGACAGAATAGCAAGAGTGACTGAGGAGAGATCCTGATGCCTTATGGTGCCCTCTAAAATTTAAATTTTACAGGAATGTCTGCATTGTCTTAAGGTTACGTTATATCAAATTCACGTCTTTCAAGAGCTTGCCTAGGGTGCCTTTCCACACCTGAAATTCTTGTGATCTTGCTAGTTGCATAGCTGGAAATTAAATGTTTTGAGTCATACCTTGGCTCCCATTTAACATTTGGTGCTCCTTGGGTTGAATTTAACATGTTGAGGCTTTGTAATTTCATTTGTGGTAAAGGCTCTAGCATTTTCTATTTCTATGCAAATTTCTTGAAGCAGAATTGTTCGCATGTTTCTCTGCCCTAGAGAAGGCATTGTTTCTTTCAAATTTAACTGAGGCATCAGTTGCTCTTTGGTGCTGTCCATTACCATGATTATTAACTTTGTTAGCAAGTTTGTGACTTGGGTTTGCAAATTTACTTGTTTGTTGCATTGATGTTCCCTTGTAGTAATTCTTAGTTTGGTTGTAAAAAAATTAGCCCTGGGCTGAAATTAGCATATAAGTTTCTTCTTTTTTTAAAAACTATTCCCAGAATTTAAAACTTGTAATAAAATTGAAACTTTTTGGGTTTTCTATGCCTTTTGAATTCTTGTATTTTGACTTTTGATCACATTTTATATTAAAGTGGCTAACGCATGGCTACTATTATTGTACAAGGCTTTTTTTTTTTTTATAAAGGATTGGCATGTTAATCTGTTTAGCAACAATAAATTGGTTGGTTGTCCTCACTGATGAATTGCTGTACCAACAATGACCTTGGACTTCATTAAGTTTGAGAAGAACGTGTCTTTTATTCCCACTTTCTTCACCCTAGTTATGCCGCGGCGCCTCAGGTTCTGGAGTTGACTTATACCCGAACTCTCCATGTAGAATTTCTTCAGACCAAGAGCCGGAGAATAACTTTGCAAACACGTGACTTTCTGATGGATACGTGATGTGAACTTGAATTACACGGCACCCATTATCCCAGCTGTGCCCGAGCCACAGTTTAGACCCATTTCACCTGCCTGATCAAGGCACAGGAAGAGACTGGGTCTTGGAGCGTTTCAAGCTGAGATTTAAGTGCATAAAGGTAGTGAAATAGGAGCTTGGTGCAGCCTTCTCAGCTGACTCCAGATCCAGCACGGCTTCACCCTTGGCTGGGTGAACACCATCTCTCATCTGAGGTTTAATTTTGTTGTTTTCCTTTCAAAAGCCCCCGCTACCCCTTTCTGTGGCTTTTTCAGTGGTGAAGGTGTGCTTTTCTGAGTAGTGTCATCCTCCTAGCATTTGGGACGAGCCACGTGGTGAAATAGACCAGTGCTGGCTGGTAAGTGGTGCCTAGCACAGAGGTGTTCGGAAACATTGGTGTCACAGACGGGGGAAAGTGGGAGAGTTGGATCACATCAAATATATTTTAAGACAATTGGTCAAAATTACAGAATGTTTTGGGGAATTTGGCTTCAGCCTTTTTAGGGGTCTCTTGGTTTCCTGGAAGGTGAGCAGGACCCCAGTATGGTGATAATGGTCCCCTGGTCCATTACTGACACGCTCAGGGGAGCCTGGAAGCTTGCTTTCCTTCCTCTTGCTGCCTGGCCCTTCTGCTGACTTACCCCAAAACTTCACAAGGCTGTAAGCAGGGCCCTCTGCGGGGCCCCCCTTCCTGTGAGGGGGGCACATCCCTAGGAGGTGGGTCCCTGACAAGAGACAACTACAGATTTGGCAGTACCAATGGGACAGGCCTCTGCTTGGTAACCTTGGACAGAGCCAATATATTAAAAAAAAATAGTTTGATTTTTTAAATGAATTTTTATTGGAGTATAGTTTATTTACAATGTTGTGTTAGTTTCTGCTGTACAGCCAAGTGATTCAGTTATACCTATACATGTATCCACTTTAAATTTTAGATTCTTTTCCCATATAGGTCATTACAGAGTATTGAGTAGAGTTCCCTGTGCTATACAGTAGGTTCTTATTAGTTATCTATTTTATATATAGTGGTGTGTCAATCCCAGTCTCCCAATTTATCCCCCCCCCCTTGGTAACCATAAGTTTGTGTTCTACGTCTGTGACTTTTTCTGTTTTGTAAAGTTCATTTGTACCAGTTTTTTAGATTCCACATATAAGCGATATCATATGATATTTGACTGACTGACTTCCCTCAGTATGACAATCTCTAGGTCGTTCTAAAATGTGTTGATTTTATTTATTTATTTTTGGCCGTGTTGGGTCTTCGTCGCTGCGTGCGGGCTTTCTCTAGTTGCGTCGAACGGGAGCTACTCTTCGTTGCGGTGCGGGGGCTTCTCATTGCGGTGGCTTCTATTGTTGCAGAGCACGGGCTCTAGGCGCACGGGCTTCAGTAGTTGTGGCACGCGGGCTCAGTAGTTGTGGGGCACGGGCTTAGTTGCTCCGCGGCATGTGGGAACTTCCCGGACCAGGGCTTGAACCCGTGTCCCCAGCACTGGCAAGCAGATTCTTTTTTTTTTTTTCCTTTTGCGGTACGTAGGACTCACTGTTGTGCCCTCTCCCATTGCGGAGCACAGGCTCCGGACGCGCAGGCTCAGCGGCCATGGCTCACGGGCCCAGCCCCTCCGCGGCATGTGGGATCTTCCCGGACCGGGGCACGAACCCGTGTCCCCTTCATCAGCAGGCGGACTCTCAACCACTGCGCCACCAGGGAAGCCCTAAAATGTTTTGATTTTGGATTGTCACTGAGGTGTAATTACAAGCTTTGTGATCAGCAAATCCGAGAATCATGTCTCGTGAAACTGTTACCTTAATGACAGGCTTCTTCTTGGAACTGCAGAGTTTATCGCATTGTCACCTTTTGGGGCTTTTTGTTTTGTTTTGTTTTTTTGCGGTACGCGGGCCTCTCACCGTGGCGGCCTCTCCCGTTGCGGAGCACAGGCTCCGGGCGCGCAGGCTCAGCGGCCATGGCTCGTGGGCCCAGCCCCTCCGCGGCATGTGGGATCTTCCCGGACCAGGGCACGAACCTGCGTCCCCTGCAACAGCAGGCGGACTCCCAACCACTGCGCCACCAGGGAAGCCCTGGGGCTTGTTTTTAACAGCAGTCATTTTGGGTCCATTGTTATTAAAATGTGTATTTAATAGTTTAACAGTAATCAACGCTCTCCTTTAAATACTACTAGAGATTGCTAGGCAAAAATCCATTTGTTTCTGCCCTTCCAGTTTCTGCTTTGCTTTATTTTTGGTCATTAAGTATTGTTACCTAGCTGCAGCCATCGCAAGAACAAGGACGGGGAGAGAATTATGAGTGATGAACATCTCGACTCTAATTTGCCAAATTAAGCAGTTGGAACTGTTCTTCGTTGAATGATATCTGACTTAACCTCACCTTGGGAACTGGAACCAAGGTTAATGGTGCGTGTGTGGTGGGCTCTCTGGTGATGGGAAATGCTGTAGGTCAGTTTCTCTGAAGTGGGACAGGGGACCTGTGGAAGTGTCCTGAACTCATTCCACCTGTGGGAGGGGTTGGGGGCAGGGCTGGGGACTGGGGTGGGCAGTTTGGTGGCGCTTAGGGTCTTTTCCTGGTTAACATTCAGGAAGACAGGAGGTCTGGAAAGAGGAAGGCAGCCTTGCCAGGGAAAATGCAGGCCTGCTTAAAGCCTCAGTGGTTGAGGTTCCGAACCTCAGTTACATGCCCAGGAGGTGAAATACAGCTTCAGGCCAGGAGGATCCCTTGCTTTCTTAGTCCGCTTCCCTGCTGCCCTTTCCTTGGCCCTCGCAGGCCACCTGCTCGGGGCAGATTCAACATCTCTCCTAATGTGGTTTAAAAGTGATCCAGGAGGGCTTCCCTGGTGGCGCAGTGGTTGAGAGTCCGCCTGCCGATGCAGGGGACACGGGTTCGTGCCCTGGTCCAGGAAGATCCCACGTGCCGCGGAGCGGGCTGGGCCCGTGAGCCATGGCCGCTGAGCCTGCACGTCCGGAGCCTGTGCTCTGCAACGGGAGAGGCCACAACGGTGACAGGCCCGCATACAGCAAGGTGATCCAGGAGATAGGATTCCCAGGGCCCTGCACTTTTTCTGGGAGGCTGGACAGAACTGT